AGACCCTGTCTCTAATAAAATACAAAATTGGACTGGGGATGTGGCTCAGTGATTGAGTGCTCCTGAATTCAATCCCTGGTACCAAAAAACAAAACAAAACAAAACAAACAAAAAAACATGGAGTCAGATTAACAAGAGATGAAAAAAACTTTTTTGATGTTTTAGGTTGCTATACTTTATGGACACTGTCAAATTTCAAATAGACTAAGGCAGAAACCAGATGATTAAAATGCACATTCAAAGATAACTGATAGTGAAATCCTTATACACACATACATATAAACATAACTTAAGAGAGAATTAACTCTTTTCTTACTGGTTTATATATGATCCAGTAAAGTGCACAAGCCAGCAAGCACATCTGAATAGTTTAATTTAATTATAAATTATGCCTCTAAACAAAGTAACAGATTCCATTTATCCTGCTGTTAATCTAGAAGAATTTAGGCATACTTGAAAGAATTAAATGATAATGATTTTTATGATACTTTCTTATGAGTAGAACAATCATGTCAAAATTCAAAAATTATTTGGTGGATTTTAAGTGCTTATATGATAAATCTACAAATTAATCTGGTGTAATATTCTACTGATAGCATCCTGCCTTCCCATATAAAAGCATARTCTGTTTCTTATACAGAATCTTTTGACAGTGTTCTTCAACTTGTTCATACTCATCTGATGAGATTTTATAAGTGTACTTATTTCATAGTTATTTYAAATTGTTTCTTCATTATGTATTCTACTATCACATATAATTTGCCCTCATATATTAGCTCTGATCTGGTGATATTAACACTATTTATTTACTTATTTATTATTTGTTGTGATTAGTTTATACATGACAATAGAATGCATTTTGACACATCGTACCCAAATGGAGCACAACTTCCCATTCCTCTGCCTGCACATGGTGCTGAGCTGGGATGAAAAATTTTAAAGAAAAGGTTAGTAACTTAAATGCAAAGAAATAGAATCTTATCAGATGAATACAAGACAGACTGAAAAAAAATGAACAGAGCCTCAGTGAATTTTGGAACTATATCAAGTAATTAAATGTAAACATAAGTGGATAAATAGTTGAAAACTTTCTAGACTTGATGAAAACTAAGTCCTCACAGAGACCTAAGACACAAAACAAATCCCAAGCATAAGAAACACAAGTCTCATAATCAAATTGCTTAAAATATAAATGACAAAAAAATGTTAAAGGCAGATGGGGGGGCACATATATACAAGAGAACAAACATAAGAAAAAGACTAAGATGAGCCAGATACAGTAGCTTAAGTGTGTAATTCCAACAACTTGGGAGGCTGAAACAGGAGCATTGCAAATTCCAGGCCAAAATAAAAATATCCTCAGTAACTTAGCAAGACCTTATCTCTAAACTAATTAATATATTAATTATTTAAAAACAGGGCTGGGGATGGGGATGTAGCTTGGTGGTAAAATGCTCCCAGGCTAAATCCCCAGTACCAAAAAAAAAACAAAAAAAAAAAAAAAACAAAACTAAGATGAGGATCAAACAAGAATGCCTGCTTTTACCAGGTTTCCCCAATATTTTACTGTTGGTTCTACTTGGTGTGATAAAAATGGAAAATATAAATAAAAGGTATCCATAGTTAAGAGGCAGAAATAAAATATAACTGTCTATGTTTTTAAAACTATAAATTTATTATGAATTACAAATAATAAATGAGTTAGAGGTTATTGAACACAAGATCAAATACAATCAATTGTATTTCTTTATAGTAGCAATAAGCCACTAGAAATTCAAAATAAAAAATCAATACTGCTTATAGTAGCATAAAAAAACATGAAATATGTAGGGATGCATCTGACAAAAATGTGTAACCTCTGTACACTGAAAACTACACAACACTGCTAAGAGAAAGTAAAATATACCTCAATAATTGGAAAAACATACCATGTTCATTTATTGGAAGACACAGTATTGTTAAGATGTCCGCTCTTGCCAAAATGACTGATGCCAATGTCAATTGAAATGCCAGCAGGTATTTTGTTTGTTTGTTTTGTGGAAATTGGCAAGCTGAATATAAAATTACCATGGAAATGTAAAGAGCTAAACAATCTTGAAAAAGAACAACAAAGTTAAGTGGCTTAACACTACTTGATTTCAGACTATAGTTATCAAAGCTATAGTTATCAAAGCAGTGTTGCGTTGGTGCATGTGTGTGTGTGTGTGTGTGCGTGAAAAGCAACAGAATAGAGAGTCTAGAAATAGACCCATGCATGTATGATTGATTATTTTTCAATAAAGTTGAAGGAGCATTGAACGAACGGTGCTGGAAAATTTGGATATCCACAGGCAAAAAAACAACTACTATCACCAACAAAAAAACTTCAATTCTTATTTCATATTTCACAAAAAATTAACTCAAAAATCACAGTCCTGCTGGGCATGGTGGCCTACATCTGTAATCCCAGCAGCTCTGGAGGCTGAGGCAGGAAGATCACAAGTTCAAAGACAGCCTCAGCAATTTAGTAAGGTGTTAAGCAACTTGGAGCAGAGTTCAAAGCCAGCCTCAGTAACAGCAAGGTGCTATGCAACTCAATGAGACCCTGTCTCTAAATAAAATAGAAAGTAGGGCTGGGGATGTGGCTCAGTGGTCGAGTGCCCCTGAGTTCAATCCCTGTTTACCCCCCACCCCCCAAAAGCCATAGCCCTAAACCCTAAACCCATAAAAAACTTTTATAAGAAAATGGAGAAAATCATTGAGACTTTGTTTAGGCAAAGATTTCTTAAATATGACATGAAAAGCATAATCCATAAAAGGAAAAATTGATAAGTAAGACTTTGTCAGAACTAAAAAAATGTTTGCACTTTCAAGAACATTGTAGAGAATAAAAAGATAAGCCACATGCTGGGAGAAAATATTTTCAAATCTTATATATGATGAAGAACTTGTATTAGCATTATATAAAAACCTTCTATGCAACAAATATGAAAAAATAATAAACCAATAAAAGAGGAAAAAATATCTGAATAATACTACATCTAAGAAGATATACGAAATTCAAATAAGCACATGAAAACATGCTCCACATCACTTGTCACTAGGGAAATAAAAGTTAAACCTATACCAAATATAATGTCTAATATGAAAAAGATTGGTCATACTAAGTTCACAAGGACATAGGACAACTTATGTACTCACAGTCTACTGTAGGAATGTGTATGGAACAACCAGTTTGAAAAATAATCTGTCAGTTTGTTAAAAATTAAATACACACCTATCATAACCTACCCAATACCATTCCTCTTCCATGGAAGATAAATGAAAGCATATGTCCACAGAATAGACCTGTACTAGATCAAAGCAGCTTAATTTGTAACATCTAAAAAAATGGAAACAACTCAAATATCTATCATCATATAGATGGACAGTTATTAATCTGTTTTATATCCAAATAATGAAATACTAGTAACAAAAAGTAATGAACTATGTAATAACATGAATAAATCACAAAAGAATTATGTCTAGTGAGACACCAGACCATATATACATATATACAAATTTCTAGAAAAATCAAACTAATTTGTAGTGATAACATTTCAATGGTAGCCCAGGGATACAAGGGCAGAAAAGAGAAGGTGAGATTATAAAGGGTTATAAGGTAACTGGGGATAAAGGATACATTCATTATCATAACTGTGGCAGTGGTTTCACAGGTATACACAAATGTCAAAACTTACCAAATTTTACATTTTAAGCACATGTAATTTGTTATATTTCAATAAAGTTATTAGCTTAAATTTATTAAAATTAGGCAAAATTTAGAGCTCAGTATATCAGTTAACACTAGTCCCCTTTCAAGTTCTTAACTGCAATATATAGTGGCTACCATTTTGGCCATCACAAGCACAGAATATTTCCATGACTGCTACAACTACCACTGGACAGCAATCATCTACCTCATAAAGAAGGATCCATTTCTTTCATTCCTCCTCCATCTCTCTATGTTCAACTTTAAGAATGGGAGTAAGCATGGCAGTGTGGCATTAATATACAAATTACATGAGAATTTTAGAAGCAGATTTTATTAAGTTAATTTTAATGTAATTTTGCTGTGAAGCAAAATATGCTTCTATTCATAAACATAGCACACTGTCTCCTAATTTAGATATCACAGTTTCTATGGATTACATTTAATTAGTTTCTTCCAATATTCAAATTGACAATTTTAAACCATATAGATAAAACTGTCTCAGAATTTATTTTCTCTTTGTAATCAAGCTTCAATACAACTCTTAAATATGAATATACAGTTTTAGTATACTCACTGATATCTTTCGAATTAGCTTTGTCCTGATTTAGAATATAATGCTATATAATACAATTGAATTTTCTTAATTAAAAAAATCAAGCATTTAACCCTTACACAATAAATATAATCAGAAGTTTCAAATGTGGGAACAGATATTAAAATAGAACACCATGGTAGGCACTGAGATATTTCACATTCAAGGAACAGTTTAACAAATCAGGGCAGAGAAGTTGTTCAACTTAGTAGTCTGACTGAAGCATTTCTCTTCTTTAACTACAGCTCTCAGTTTTGAGAGTTGGAGGTTATTTATTTATTTTTTGTTTAAAAAAAAGGAAGAAGAAAAAAGAATCAAACTCCCATTTTCTGCCCCTATCCTAGTAGCCTATAGACTTGGAAGGCAGAGTCTATGTTTATTTTGTTTTTGTTTCTAGGGAATACAGGGCTGAAATCCTCAATCTTCCTGGTTCCATAGCCTGCTACACTGATCTGTGCCCATTTTGATATCTGAGTCATGCCTGCCTTGGAAATGCAATACCGAAAAATGCAACTGAAGTTGGGTAAGAGACCAAGAAGGCTGGTGGCCAGTGTAGAAAAACTAAGACAACCCCCCCAAATGTGTACTGTAGTAAGATAAGCAAGACCTGTAAAAACAGAAACCAAGTCCCTCCGTTGTTTGCAGAAGCAGAACTCAGAAGCCAGCTTCACTTACTTTTTTACACCGACAGAGCCATTTTCCTTGTTTTCCATGTCAACAGATAGCATGGGAAGGCTGCAGGGTTTCTTTACTTCAGCAACTAATCAATAAGGGAGAAAAGCTTGTGTTTAATTCTGAGAAGGTGAGAGTAGAATATATATTCTGAATCAGACATAATGGTTCCTTTTTACAGCTTCACACCAGTTCACGTATGTTTGTTTAAATCTCTAGTTCCCTGGGTGATTGGATAGATGTGATTAAACCTAAACAACTGAAGGAGACAGATGAATTGGGGTGCTTTCATCTGTACTGGCACTCCCAGCCTTGACAATAAGCATTTGCAAATGAAATTGAATCCTCGTTCAAAACAAGTGCTGTGTGACCTGGCACAGCTTCCTCTGGGTGCCAAGCTTTCACTTAAGATATTGCAACTCATAAATGAGTCGAAGTGGAGGAAAAAAAAAAATCCCCCTTTTCCTGCCCCCTCCCACCATAGACTGTGATTTCTTTTATTGCTTTTCCTTTTTTTTTTTTTTGTCCACTCCCTCTGCTCCCAGATTTTTTTCATTGTAATGCAGGAGCGCACTTACAGCTTTTGTCAGCAAGTATCCCCCTACCTCACATATTCTCAACGAAAGCCTCAAAAACCAGTCTGGGAGATGACCATGCTGTTAGTAAAAAAAAAAAAAAAAAAAAAAAAAAAAAAAGCCAGATCGTCCTTAGTACAGAAAGGTGGTGCTGGTATGTGTGTGTGTGTGTGTGTGTGTGTGTGTGTGTGTAAGCGAGGGTAGGCAGCTCATTCAATTTATATAAAATCACCAAAACATTTAAGAAGATATAGTAACATCTACCACTCTTTTTGTTTGTAGGATGAGGACTGTGAAAAAAAAAAATGAAAACCCTCCACAATTAAATAGGCAATTAACACGATGAAAAAGCTAGGAACAAAACTGCTTCAAGAAAAGAAAAACAAAACAAACAAAAACCCAGAAACAAAATAAAACAGAAAAACTAATCCCAGAAACGTGGTTTGTTCTTATTCAGCTGAAGCCATCAATTAAATACATTTCCTTTCAAATCACTTTATACTTCGGCACTCCTTCTCCAGGGATTACTCTGACATGGCAAGTGCATCATTTAGTATATTCACAAGATTTTTATCACTGTTAGAGAAGTAGATGATTAACAAATAACACCGCAAGTGTGGGATGATCTTCACTCCTGAAACACACACACACACACACACACACACACACACACACACACACACACACAAACTTCCAGGTGCTAAACCACTTAGATCTCTGCCAAGAAAAGCAACATTTAATCTACACATAGCTATCAGCATACATCCCCACACCGGCACAGAGTAGGCAGGAAGCAGTGCTGCTGCTCCAGGCTACCAGAAGGATTTCACTTCAGTTGGAAACTGTTACACATTCACCATTTTCTAAGCATCTCAGAAACAAAACAAAACAAAACACTCACAATGATACTCTGCAACATCACACTACATTGTCTTATTACTATTATTTTCTTTCTTCCCTATTTCTTTTTTTTTTTTTTTTTTGGTGGAAGAGTAAAAAGAAAACCTACCTATAAGCAACTAAAACATATCATATTTTTATAGGCTTATCAAGAACAGCCAAAGAAACCCCAATGTTTTCTTTCACAAAGTAGGCTGGCAAAGGAATTCAATAAGGAGGTACAATTTGACACAGTGAAATAAAACCAGGCTGGCTCTCAGCCAACATGACGTTAGGAATCACACACAAGCTGCACCAACTGCCTTCTGGTTCATGGCTGACTTTTTAAAGCTACAGTGTGCCTGTTCACTTTGGCTAACTACCTTCAGCACAATTAGTGGAAGTGGATGAATCATGGGTCCAAAACCGGCAGAATTTTCCCTGCACCTGTCTTGTACTAAGAAAAACAAGCTGTCTTAATAGGTCTCTTCATTTTCTCCCACCCCTTCACGGTTGCTACATGTCTTTACTGTTGTTCTGAGATTGAATGCCATGTTTCAAAACTATTTCTTTTTTTCTCCCCTGTGGGAAAAATAAGATGAGCCCATGGCTTATAGGCTCTACTCAGGGAACAATCAAAAGCTGGAGTCCTGCCTTACTCGTTTTTCCTAATAGAGAAATGTGGACAAAGTTCCTAGCGCTGGCTTTTAAGTAATCTCTTTGTGAGAATGAGGAACTACTGCCCAGTAGCAAATCCCTTTCCTTCATTATGCAGGAAATAGCATATTTCACAGAGGATGGAAAATAGATGACCAGATCTCCTGAAAACACCCACATTCTTTTATTTTGGCATTCATCTTATCCAGCGAAACCAACAAAAACTCAAACAGAAACAAAGCCTTATTCTACAAAAGGAAAACAACTAGTTYTGTGAGGTTTGATTTCATTTATCCCAGTTACATAAAAAGCATAATCCAACAAATGCAAACTACATTTACAGCCCATGAGAACCTGGTACTGAGTATRAGTCACATAAAAATAAGAAAATATACTGCCAACTCCCAAATACATAGTCTCTCCCAYTATCATCCTAAATCCCAATTTAGGAAATGGGAGGTAGACTAGAGAGGCTAGTCTACCTATAAGTTCCATATAAGTTTCCTTGGTCAGTCTCACAGTTCCTTGGTTTGGCTGGGAAACACTTGTGTGTGTATGGGGGTGGAGGAGGGGGAGTCACAAAAACTGTTCTTTACACATATAGAAAACATTCATGATTACTTCTTCATTGAAATAAACACCAACCAACATTTGGATACTTTTAGGTCAAAATAGGCACAAAACCTTTCAGAACACACGCACAACTCCCAGAATTATTCTGGAAAAAAATATCTGCTACTGTGATGTTGTTTAGACTTCAGRCAGAATCGAGAAGAAAGTGGCCTGCCTCCAATTTCCTTTAGTAATCTTTAAGGGGCATTAGGAGATCAGTAACTATGATCTAAATTTGGAACCTGAATTGCAAAGTCAAAAATTTTTCCCTTACTTATTCTGGGAATGAGATTACAAATCTTCAATTTCCTGAAAGACCACTGCTGAGAAATACTTTTAGTACTCTCCTCACCCATCTTTTCCATTGCCCTCTTGCAAAAGCAAACAATCATGAAATAGGGACCAATTTTAAGTGTTCAAATATTTCTAGTATTTTTTTTTTTTGGTGGATGTGTCACCACTGCTGTTCAAAATCATGTACTCTAATGGAAGATAAAGAGCTTTCGACAAAGATTCCATAATGCTTTTGAACTTGATCTGAAATTCCTGAACCATTTTCCAACTAAATCCAAGGACRAGAACTGGACTTTGAGTCCTGTGAGCAGTGGAGCCACAAGGAGGGTATCCTGACAGCACYGCTGAGAACAAAAGTATACTTGGCTCACCATTCTTGAAGGGAAAGAGGCAAATAAAATGTAGTTACACCCAATTCTTCCTTAGATACACTCACAGGAGGAAAGATTCTGTGAAGCTTTTCCAAGCATTTTTTTCCCCTTACATATAGAAAAGGACATCCCCTCCCGCCWTGCCTGCTGTGTTCAAAAGTTTGCCAGTTAAACAAAGTGTTAGGTTTCAGAAAGTGCTGTTAGAAATCAGTCCTATTTGATAAAAAAGTGAGCCACAGAGGCATTCTAAACTATGRCAACAGGAGGTTTCAYTTACCAGTGAGTTTCTAACTTTGGTAATAAACTAACATTTATGAATATAAATATACTAGTACTCACCCACTCTCTCCTCACATGCGCAGGCAAACAGTTTGAYATTAACTCTTTTCTCAAATGACAAGAATGATCTGAAGGTACATAGTGTGTATGTATGATGTGTGTACTGCGGTAAATACTGTGTGTTATATGTGTTTGTGATGTGTCCTATGTGTGGATATAGAACTCATGGTATGTAGTGTATATTTGTGTATGTGTGTGTGTGTGGTGGTGGTGGGGCAAACAAATAAGGATTCAGCACATKATACGATGTGCTAAAATAACTTTGGAGGTCCTGGCATCAGGGATTTGGAGCAGAAAATATGAGCCCATTTGGAAGTACACTCAAACGGGGTGGGGGGTGGGAGGGGGATTCGTGCCTCCATTGGCTTCTTTTATTGATCGGCACTCATCCCCCAGGCAGTACAGACTCCTAATGGAAAGCCAGCTATGTACTAAAGAAGCCACCCGCCAGGGCCCCTGTCCCGGATCTCCCCCACGAAGTAGCCAAGGGCAGGGGCGAACTCTAGAGTCCCGAAGGGCGTCTCAAGGGAAAAGGAAGCATATCCTGGAGAAGGGGCAGTGGGTGTGGGGACAGGACACAGCCTCTTGGACCTGCGCCTCCAGCAGAGAGTAAAACGACTCGTGTGGCACGTTCCAAAGAGAGTGGAAAGTTTCTGGCTGAAACTTTCAAAGAGAAATAGTGCCAGGTCTTTGGTCTGGGGACTCCCCGGTGGAGCCCGTTTTGGAAAAGGGGTTTGGGGGTGTGGCGCGAGCTGTGCCTCCACCCTGTCCCGTCCTGCACGCTCGGTCCCGCAGCCCCCGGCTCGCCCCGGTTCTCCGCGGAACTGGGCACGCTTCTGCCCCCAATTCCACTCCAGGACAGAGTGACCAGAGTCCACGCCCGTGAGTGCAACAAGCTGCGGGAGCGCTGGACACACAGAAGACACGAGGGAGGGCGGGGCGCTTTTTTTCTTTTCTTTTTTTCACCAGTGTGGTGATCTTTGCTTCTTTTCATCCTGGAGAGGGGAGAGGGCGGGCGCGTTCCCAGGCCCTCGCCGCACGTGCCCATCACTTACCTCCCGCACTGCCGCGCCGGGAGGTTTGCCCCGCGCAGAGCTCGGCGGCCGCCACGCGCCGAGCCCCGAGCAGCCGGCCGGACGCGCGCGGCACGCCGGGAGTTGTAGTCCACCGTGGGCCGGCGGGGGTCCGAGAGGTGTGGGCGCGGGGAAGCGGAGTGCAGAGTCCAGAGGGAAGGGCCCTGGAAGGGGCCCTGTGAATGTGAGGGAGGACGCTTGCAGAAACTTAAAACTTTCAGAGAGTTGAGGTCAGGGGGAGCATTCTAGAGAGATTTTTTTAAAGTGGAGGCTTTCAGGTAATCCCATTTGCTTCCTGTTTTACTTGCTCATGATAACCCTGCTGAAGTTTAARCTGGACTTTAGCAGTAATAATAACTAGAGATTTCCCGGGTCAATATTATTTAGGGTTCTACTCTCCATTCGCCCCATTCAGTCTTTGCTTGAAACACCTATTCAGTTGCTCACAAAATAACCCAGTTGAAGCCCTGGACATGCAAAGGGAGGGTGAGTAATTGCACCTTGCATTTGTAGAATGCTCAACAGCACTCTTTACAAAGCACTTTTACTTCAGCGTTTCATTATGTTAGAACCATAAAGCAACACTGGAATTTAGAGAAAAAGTAAAGTTGCAGAAAGTTTTGTGTATCCACACCTGTGGAGTTGGAACCAACCCATACTATTCATTTCCTTCTGTAGYCCTTCTCTTAGCAGCTGGGAAGAGAGGATGGGGAAAAGGAGGGCTGGGGATAGATGTAATGGATACAATGAAAGAAAAGGGGCCTGTTGTGAAGGATTTTCTTGCAATAGCTWATGAATAATAATAATAATCCTTAGTAAATAAGGAAATAAAAGAAGTACCCATGGATTGGAAGAATACAAGGGGAAGGAAAAGGCAGTTGGATAGGAATACTCAACAGAAGATTGCAAKCAGGCTAGAGGCAATATGAAAAAGTTGTATCAGAAAGAAAAGCACAAACATTTAGAAGCCAAAGAGAACTTGAATCCTGATGTTGTCACTTCTGAGTTAATTCTGTGACCTGAGTTATTTAACCTCTACAAACCACTTTTGCCTGATCTTTAAAGTTTAAGTAAAAATAATTCCTATTTTGTGATGTGATTGGGCAGATTAAAGAAGACCGGAAGCAGTTAGAATAGTGCCTGGCATATCATGAGTATTCGGTTAGTACTGGCTACTATTATTATCTACAGAAACTGCTCGTGGGAGTATCAAAAGACGGATTGCAGTGGAAGTGCCAGTTAGGAGGCTTGACAATACTCTAAGCTACAGATAGTGATATCTTGACCTACTGTGACAGAAAGGAAGCAGCTATGAGACACTTTGAAGGGGAAAAGAACAGGGCAGTGGAATCAGCTGATTGTGGGGTCTGAGGAACAGGAATCAAAGATGCTTGCCATTTCTAGATGGCGTGAATTGGATGATGCTGCCATTCACACAAATAGGTACAACCAGTGGAATAACAGATTTTGGAGGAAGATGACTAGTTTGATTTTGGATGTGCTTAACTTGAGGATTTCTGTATGTGAATGACCAAATAGCAGTTGGAAATGTGGGCTTAGATACTACATGTAGAAATGATACTTTGAGAGCCATTTATTTAATAGAGGTAGTTTTTAAGAGCCTATGTTAAAAAAAAAAAAAGGAAGGATAGCAGGGGTGGGTAGAGAGAGGAGAGGAATTGGACAGAGCTGCCAGGCTGGAACTGGTGAAAACAGAAAGGGAGTATTTCAGGGGGGCAGTGACAGGGGAGCCTAGGAGGAAGGAGAGGTGAGGAGTGTGCCAACAGGTCAAAGGCTATTTGACACAGAAAGTCGCCTCTGGGTATGTGGATTGAGAGACTGTTGAAATAGAACTGTTTGTAGGAGTCGTTTTGGAAATTCACTAGAGTGATTTGGCTTTTCCTAGTGAYTGGGGAATGGTCAACTGAAATAGAATTGGTGGGCCCAAAAATTCTAGGCATCTTTCATTGCCTGGAAGACC